TATATATATATATATATATATAAAATTAAATTAAAATTATTTTCAAAATTTCGGCCGACACCAAGCCTTCCCTTGAATTTTCTAAATGGTAAACTATAGACGTAATTTAAATATACAATTCATGCCATTGGAACTAGTGTCAGACTTTTGTGCATAGATAACATAAATTTCTATCATATCCTCAAATTGCATAAGAGATTAATTCTCAAATGAAAATTGTGAACGTTAAATTAACCTCAGTTATAGATAATCAAGTGCCCAGACATGGAAAGCGACAACTTGAATTATCTCTAGGCAGGGAAATGAGTGAGTTAATTACCAAGCTTTAAAATGCTGAGTTACTACCAAAAGGATCTCCAAACAGATCAAGCAGAAATTATGCAGCACATATTGAGTGGTAATCTAAGAATTATCTTTTCGACAATAACAACAACAAGCCTTTATCCCACTAGATGGGGTCGGTTACATGAATCTTCGTGAGGTCTGCTACGTGAATCTTTTTTCTCTTTTGTGTCCTATTGAGTGTCATCTTTTCTTTTGATTATAATTAGATCATTTTTCATACAATATGCCCAAATCTTTTTAGGTTTACCTTTACCTTTCTTAACATAAGTTGAATTTAAAACATCGATTCTCCTAACCGGATCATCAAATGGTTGACGTTTAATGTGACCAAACCATCTAAGACGGCTCTCTCTAATCTTGTCCATCATTGGAGCTACAACAATAGATTCTTTTTGCATTTTGTCTGTAAGTGTCAAGCCACTCATCCACCTAAACATTTCTCATCTCTCCAACACTTAATTTTCTTTTATGCTGCACTGCAAAGTCCAATATGCTACGTTCTAAAGCAATACAGGTCTAACCATCATCTTATAAAATTTTCTCTCAAGTCTAGCAGTACTTTTCTATCACACAATAGGCTCGATGCATTCATCCACTTTAACCAACCAACTTGAATTCTATTAATAACAGCCCCATTTATATCACCATCACTATGAACAATAGACCTGAGATATCTAAAGCGATTAAACCTTTTAATGATTTGACCACCCATAGTTACAACACTACCACTAGAGCTTCTACTACAACTATTAAAATTACATTTCCTGAATTCAGTTTTAGATTTACTAAAACGAAGGTCTTTAGACTCCAACATTGACCTTCATAATTCAAGTTTTTTCTGAACTCTTCACTAGTCTTATCTACAAGAAGGAAATCATCAGCCAAAAGCATACACCAAGGTAGATCCTCCTATAAATGTTCAGTAAGAGTATCCATAACTAAAACAAAAAAATATGGGTTTAAAGTCGATAATTAATGTAATCCAAATAAAGTATAAAATACTTGGTCAATCAACCTTTTGTTCGAACACAATTAACAATTCTAGTATACAAATATTTAGTGACTTGAATATAAGTCATATCAACATCTTTCTTTTCTAGAACTCTCCAAAGAATTTCTCTTGGAGTGGTATCGCAAGTTTTTTCTAAATCAATAAAAATCAAATGTAGACTCCTTACTCTCATTGTACTTCTCCATCAAACCTCTCAATAAATGTATAGCTTTCATATTAAACTTGCCTGGCATATATATACATATGGATAAGAATTATCTTTTATACATAAAAAAATCTAGAATAAATATTACTCTCAAAATAAAATAAAATATAAAACCGAAAAACCCGAAATAATAAAAATATTTAGCACTAATTCCACCAAAATAGACGTAGAAATAACAATATAAACCGCTCATGAAATGTTTGTGAATGCAGTAAAAAATTTCTATCTGTCACACATTTAATTTCACAGGCAACTCAACAATCATTAGGAAGTCTTTAATTGATCGAAAACCAAAAAAATAAAAATTATATATGGATATACATAAGGAGAAAATATAAATTAATTTTCTTGGTGATTTATATTTGACAAAAGAAATCACATGGGATAAAGCATTAGATCACCTCATGCATTAAGACCCTATTGCCTATGCATACTTATAGCACCTCCATATTATTTCCCGCTTTCCCTGCATCCAACTTGATGATGCAAGAGGCTTATGGTGAGTCACGCATACAAATTCTAAAGTAAAGATATCAGCGCAAAAATCCACACCAAATTAGAAGCAAAGAACACTTGATAAATTCCCCCAAAAGCAAATGAATTATGAAGAAATAATTTACTTTAGCAAAGAATGTAGGCGGGAAATCAGACCAAGGTTTCTAAATAACCTGCTAGAATAGAAGCTAAAACAACAGGGAATGACCGAAAATTATGCAGGGTTAAAGTTTTTAATTCGAAAAAACAATTTCCATAAGTAGAACCACATTGTCAAATAGTTAACTGCATTAAAAAGAATAGATTCAAAACAAAATAAATAAATACATAAAAATAGCAGACAAAAAAATATGCTAAATTACCTTTCTAAATTACCTTATTTTAATGGCTTTTAATAGTTCTTTCTTAAGAAAGGGGAAAGAAATGTTCATTTGCCCTTACCATCATAGTATAATGTGTTGGAATTCTTATAAACGACTGCCCTAACAAAGGTTATAGAAAAAATGTCCTAAACGTAGTCACATCAGCAATTTTGAACAAGTCTGACAAAAAAAGTTCTTTCAAAAAATAAATCTCGAAATTTGCTTTAACGGAAAATGTAGAAAGTTCAACCATTAAAGCATTCCACATAATTCATGAACCTAAATATAAAAAACAAGAAAGACGTGCTCGAATGTCGCTTTTAGAATAAATTTGATATCAAAGACATTTAATTTCATGACTCGGATTCCAAAGCCATAATATTATATAATAGCACAAAAATGCTTGCCCAAAGCTAAGTTAAGCAAAAATAAATAAATAAATAAAAATATAAATCTAAGCTTGTACCTACCTTGGGCAATATTTGAGCCGCCTGAGGAGATGATTGCAAAAAACACAACAAGAGTTTCAATTCTTTGGACAATTCCTTAAATAATCCATCAGCTAATTTCCGAGTTGTTTTACAAGACTGAAAATCTCCTGTCCTAGAGAGATCTTGTAATGAAGTTTCCAGCTTTTCATGAGCTGATAAGCACCTTTTGATAACATTCTGAATTCGCTGGACAGTAGCTTGCACCTATCAGAGAGAAACTCATAAAAGTGAAGAGGGCGTAAAATATGAAATTATATTAAAAAATCTCCCAGCAAAAATAATGCCATCAAGAGAAAATTATAATGTTTACTTAATCCATAAATAACTAGAAGTACATTTTTATGAAGCTTGATCTAAAAGAGTTGAGATGTTCTTGGCATTAAATCCTTTGGCTTCATAGTGTTGCAAAAACTTTTAGCTAAACAAAGGGTAAATAAAATTTAGCTGTTTAGTAGAGAATATCCTTCAGCTACCAACTCTAAAATATTGTCAAAAGTACATCCAATACAGGTAAATATCTGTTAAATATGCATATTCCAATGATACTAGTTCCCCAGCTATGTCAAGTAACTATTTTGTCTCATCCACTCTTGCATAATAAAAAATAACAAAATAGTTAGAACCAGAGGTTCATCAGGAAGAACATTAAATTTTGAATTAAAAAATTTATACTCGCAATGTGGAAGAAATCTTGCAACAAAAAATCAAAAACATTAAATGATAACATAGCTCTATGAGTCAGCAAACCCAGTAAAAATATTTTATGGGACATTTACATACATGTCACTGAATTTCTATATATTCACATATATAACATATAAACTTTATTTTTTACATTTATAGCACCCAAATCTTTCATATCACATCAAGAATACCATCATTTTAACATCTAAAAAGTGAAATACACCTTTTCATGCATAGGAAAGATGGCATGTATGTAAATATTTGAAATTTAGGTGTTAGATGAGTAAATACAAAGAAATTGAGTGGTATTTATGCAAATCTTCCATATTTTAATTGCTTTCCTAGAATAAAAATATAATGTGCAGTTTAATACTTGAAACAAAGTAATAAAAGAAAAAAATGATGGCAGCGCTCTATAAGCCAGCAGCCTATCCATACCTCATCCCACTGAAGTTTAGCAATATATGAAGCAGAAAACTTCGAGATTGACAGGTCTGCGTGCATGTATGCAATACATGCAACAAAAAGAAAGAAGAAACCGGAAATTAACAACAGAGGCTCCCTATGAAGTGAAAGGTTGTTAAACTTGTAGTGAACCTACAAAGACAAAAATAAAATGTTAAGAAAATAGCAGGCTGATATTTATAAAATTAAATTACATTATTCATGCTAACACTACATATTAGAATATTTTAATGGCTACTAATAGCCATTATTTATTTCTGATTATTCTGAGTTATTTCCTTTGATTTCCTTTCTTTCTATTATATTCTGTGTTATTTCTTTCCCTTTTCAATTATATCCTGAGTTTATTTCTTTCCTTTCTAGTTGATCCTGTAATAGGTATACTTACCCCTCTTTGTATCAATAAGATGTATGTTATTTTCTATTCTAAGATGGTAACAGAGCCTGAACCTAGATCCAGCAGGCCCCAGCCTCCTCAACCGGTTCCAAGAGCTGCTACCACTGCCTGATTTTCTTTCTCGGGAAATCCCGAGAGAAAACTTCAGCGTGAGAGCCTTTTTTTTCCTGTCTACCGAGGAAACCTCCAGCGCCCCTGTTCCCGTGAGATTCATATCATCCCAGCCGACTTCCAATTCCTTATTCCCGTGAGATTCCAATTCCTGTGAGAGCCAAGGAGCTTTCCCAGCCGCCGTCTTCCACCTGCAGCACTGCAGTGCAGAATGTTCCGGACTACAGGGACCCCAACAGTCAGCCTCAGTTCATATCCTATCAGTAGCCTCAATGCCCAACATCTACTGCTAAGCCCTAAACTCCAACAATCCAGCTTACTAGATTTTTTGTGATCAAGCTTCCGACAGATCTTCATTATATTCTTCAGCTAGTATTATGTTTCGGAATCCCAACCAAATCTCGTTTGACTCAGTTGGAATCATGGCAGGTTCCTCCAACACTGAGCCACCTTCAGAATATGTTCTTGAGTCCTCTAGAGGATCGAATCCAACCTCCGTTTCACTACCAATCGGAGGACCGGAAGCTAACATGAATTTTCTTATCACAACTCATAAATTGAATGACAACAACTTTCTTCAATGGTCCCAAGCAGTGTCTTTGTTCATCAAAAGATGTGGAAAGTTTGGTTATCTCACAGGCATGGTTTGTGAGCCTCCAAAGACTGACCCGGCATATGGAGCCTGGGAACTGGATAACTCCATGATCATGTCATGGCTGATCAACTCCATCGAGACTTCGATTAACCGATCATAAATGTTCCTTCATTTCTCTAGTGCCCTTTGGATAGCAGTTCATAATACCTAATCAGATGTAGGGAACTTCGGCCAATTCTATCAGGTGCTCAAGAAAATCCATGAAGCAAAACAAGGATCCAGGACAGTGACCCAGTACTACAATGACCAAGTTGCATTATGGATGTAATGCAACTCATACTATAACTATACATGGGAATCTCCAGCCGATCTATCTCTCTTTCAGAAAATTGCAGAAAAGGACCGCATGTTCCAATTTCTGGAAAACCTCAACAAAGATCTTAACGAAGTCCGGAGAAGTATCCTTGGTCGGGATCTCTTCCTTCTATTCACTGAGACTTGTCTCAAAAAGAGCAGTGAGATGTCAGTAGATTTTTAGCATCAAGTTTAAATTTGATGGATCCTTTGAACACAATAAGGCACGGTCGGTAGTCAAAGAGCACTCACAGACCTACGGAGTAGAATACAAGGAGACATTTGCTCCAGAGGATAAATTAAGCAATATTCAGGTTCTCTTAACAGTGAATCTAGATTGGACCATATTTCAGCTTGAACGTTGATCTCACCGAGGAGGTTTACATGGCCCTTCCTGCAGGCTTTGACTACACTACTCCAAGGGGCAAGTATGTAGATCGTGAAAATCCCTCTATGGACTGAAGCAATCACCACGAGCAAGGTTCAGGAAGTTCACAAAGGTGGTGGTAGGCCATGAATTCGCTTAGGCTCAATCAGACCTCATACTCTTCTTCCGACATTCCTCGAGCAACCAAGTAGCTATCCTTATCTTTTATATCGATGATATTGTCTTTATAAGGAATGATCTACCAACATTGAAATCTCTGAAGGACATTCATGTTGCCTACTTTGAGACGAAGGACTTGATACCTCTCTGGTACTTCTTAGGCATGGAAGTTGCTCGGTCACCTCGAAACATTTGTCTGTCCCAGCAGAAATAAGTCATTGACCTTTTGACAGAAAACAACCTTCTTCTGTACAAACCAGTAGAACTTCTTGATGTTCTAAAAAAAGTTCCTGTAAACAAGGCTCGCTACCAGCGTCTTGTGGGAAAACTCATATATCTTGCCCATACATGCCCCGATATATGTCACTTAGTTGGGATAATAAGTCAATTCATGCATAATCCCTATGAGCACCATCTTCAAGCAGTCCATCGGATTCTCCACTATTTAAAAGACACACCAGGCTCAGGTTTGTGTTTTTCCCGCCACCGTGCTCGCAATTTGTTGTTTCACAGATGTTGATTGGACTAGATCCATCCATGATCGGCGATCTACCTCGAGATACTGCTCATTTGTAAAGGAAAACTTGGTCACGTGGAAAAGCAAAAAACAATCCATGGTTGCCTGGAGCAGTGTTAAACTTTCACTCCATATCATTATATGTGAGGTTATCTGATACGCATCATGCTCCGTTAACTACGCATGCTAGTCTCTATTCCCTTATAGTTGTTTGTAAAAATAATACTGCCATTAAAATTGCTCACAATCCAGTACAATATGATCGCATCAAGCACGTTGAGGTTGACTGATACTTCATTAAGGAAAAACCTGTGTTAAGAAAAATTTGTGCTTCGTTTGTGTCATTCAGTAGCGAACTAGCGAATAACCTCACGAATAACCTCACAAAGAAACTTCCTCGACCACTGTTCGATGATTTCAAGTCCAAGTTGAACATGATTGGCATCTATACATTAACTTGAGGTGGGAAATAGAATATTTTAATGGTTGATAATAGCCATTAGTTATTTCTGGTTATTCTTAGTTATTTCCTTTGATTTCCTTCCCTTTCTATTATATTTTGTGTTTTTTCTTTCCCTTTTCTATTATATCATGAGTTTATTTCTTTCCTTTCTAGTTAATCTTGTAATGGGTATATTTACCCCTCTTTATATCAATAAGATGTATGTTGGTTTCTATTCTAACACTACATATATCCTAAGGTTTAACGAATTACTTGATGTGTGTGTCTCTATGTATAATGTATTCTAGCCTTACATTGTTCACAGACCTAGGATGCTTTATAAGCGTCTATTCTTAAGGGTCATTTGGCGCAATATCTTTTTGGTGGTTGTACGTTGGGTGGATATGGTGTTGTCTTGTAGTGTCGTGGTTGTGGGTTGTGTGTGGAGGTGTGTTTGAGTGGTTGTGGGTTGTGGGTTGTGGTGGTTGTGTTGTGGGTTGTGGTAGTTGTGGTGTAGGTTGGATGGTTGTGGTGTTGTGTCTTTGGGTTGGCGGTTGTGGAAATGTGTGTAGAGGTGTGGTTGGGTGGTTGTGGTATAGCGGTTGTGGATTGGGTGGATGTGTTATGTGTTGGGGTGGATGTGTTAGGGTGGATGTGTTGTGATGGTTGTGATGGTTGTGATGTGGTTTGTGGTTGTTATGTTGTGGGTTGTGGTGGTTGTGCTGAGAATTGGGTAGTTGTGTGATGGTTGTGGGATGTGTGTGGAGGTGTGGCTACGTGTTTGAGGTGTGGTGGTTGTGGGGTTGTGTCTTGTGGTGTAGTGGTTGCGGGTTATGGATAGATGTGTGGTTGGGGGGTTGTGGTGCGGTGGTTGTAGATTGGGTGACTATGTTACAAGTTGTGGTGGCTGTGTTGTGGGTTTGGTGGTTGTGGTGCTGTGTCTTGTGGTGTGGTGGCTGTGGCATGTGTGTAGAGGTGTGGTTGGGTGCTTGTGGTGTGGTGGTTGTGGATAGGGTGGTTGTAGGGCTGTGTCTTGTGGTGTGGTGGTTGTGGGTTGTGTGTAGATGTG